CATCTACTTCTTCCGCGGCCTGGCGACCAACTCGAAAGTGCTCTTTACTCTGCGCGAGTTCTTCGAGAAGAACTATGATACTGTGGGCTTCGCTTGACGTAGCGAACGTAGAATGCATTTAACATGCGAACTTTCTAGATTAACACGCGTCTCGAGACGACTTTCAGCATGAAATACCTCGTCCAGGTCTGTACTTCTTTATTGGCCATATCCATCCCCTCATCTTACTTTCTAGGCCGTGTATTCCGGCTTCGGGAAAGAGGCGGATCGCGTTAAGGCTGAGGCATTCTTCAAGGTGTGTCACGAGTTGCAGTCAATATCTTACCTGCTCAATCATCGGTCTCAGGACAAGAACATCAGCAAGTACAATCAGGCTTTGGCTCAAGCCCTCGACGGCATCACCACTAAGGCTGCATTCATCAAGGTGCGACAGGCAGGAGGCTCTGGCGGGGGTGCGCACTGACCAGCCTGGTTTTCTTCACAGCGTTCGACTCCGGATATCGTAGCTTGGTTGGAGAAGTGGGAAAACACGCCCAGGGCGTCGCTCTAGTCCCCAGTTGATCGTGCGAAATAAATGAGGGTCTGAAGCATCGCGATTTCCACATCTCTTCGTCTGTATGCTCTGTTAGGCGAGTCACTGTCCTGTTGGGTAATTGTTTCCTTCTGTTTTGGGTCAGTGTGTCGCAGCTTGATAGCATCGCAAACTGAGCGAGTCCCCTTCCAACTCTCACACAGAACTTATGCATGAGCACCCGACTCGTGATTATAAAATTTCGAGTCTCAGCTCAGCATACACCACCGAGATTCGGGAGCCCATTTCTATGCAGGGCAAGATGTCTCACGCTGTCTCATGCCGCGCGGCATGAGATGACATGATCGAGGCAGTTCGGCGCTCGCCGCATTCTTATTTCAGTTTCGTTCCTTGCGAAGCTGCATCTTTTGAGCGCCCTAGGACAGCCTAGGGCCGGTAATAAGCCCGATGCTCCAGTCCCAGAACGCGCAGCCCCAGTTCCCGGTGTGCCACTATGGCTGATCAATCTAGTGGCGACTGCGTGACCATCCTTCATCATGGTCCCGACGACGAAATACAGCATCTACCTCTGCAAAGGGTCGATGTATCGGCCAGGATAATTGACGGTTCGTCGCGTTGGCTTATCATACGCCTCTGCTCATCACGGTCTTCTACGTCTCTACTAGTCTCCGCACAGGTCATGCTGGCCCACACCTTCTACAATGACTCTGCTAGACCGACTCGCCACGCGAAGTATGTGTTTCCCATTCCCGCAAGTGCAGCAGTCTGCGCATTTCAAATGGAGACTTCGGACGATGGCCTAATTGTCGGAGTGGTCAAGGAGCGTGACGCGGCGGAGGCTGAGTACCGAGCTGCGGTCGACACGGGAAAGCTCTCGGGTTTGGTAAAGTGGGCTGCAGACGATAGTGAGTCCCTTTTGATACCCGTGCAGTCATCATTCTGACGGGTAATAGTCTTCACCATGTCGGTCGGGTCTATCCCTGCGCGGACGACTGTAATAACGAGGATCACCGTGAGTAGCATCTCAACACAGGCTGCAGTAAGCGTGGTGCTGAGCTGATCGTGTAGTGCGTCATGAACCTTATGGACAACGCCACATCGGACGAAATCCGGTTCCAGCTTCCCATGGCCGTCGGGACGATGCGTTACGGCACGTCGCCACCAGATATACTTGATGCTGTTTCGGCTCCTGCGAGAACGAGGCTGCGCATCAACATCGATGTTCAAAGCGTGGGAGAGCTGCTCAGCCTTGGGAGTCCGAGCCATGCCGCAGACTTGAAGCAATTTCCGTACCGCACACATCGCGACAAACCCTCCGTGCGCCGCAGGACCGTGCGCGTCTCGTCACCGTCCTTCCTTCGGCGTGATTTCGTCCTCATAGTTCGTTCGCGAGGCCTTGATAGGCCACGTGTGTTCGCAGAAATCGACGCGACACACGGGACTACGGCACTCGTTATGAGTGTTGTTCCTACGCTTATTGTGCCACGCATCCCCGTTCAAGACCATCTTTTCCTAGTAGACCGTAGCGGGAGCATGCAAGGACCACGCATTCAGGCGGCCCAGGCAGGCCTCCGTGCGCTCCTGCGTGCTTTACCCAGTACAGGGACAACGTTCAACATATTCAGCTTCGGAACACAGTGTTCATCGCTGTGGACACAAAGCCAAGTGTACTCGCAAGCGACACTCATAGATGCAGTAAGCTTAGATTTTGAATACGACACGGAACCTTCATAAACTCACCTTGGTCCTCGAAGATTGATCATGTCGGACAGATGGATGCGAACTTCGGTGGCACCGAGATAAGAAGTGCTCTGATGCAAGTGTTCGCGTATCGCAATGTGTCAATGCCCACAACCGTGTTTCTCTTGACAGACGGGGAGGTGAAGGTCTTTCTCATCCCATTAGATGACGACTCACGACGGAGCGCATGCTAGTCCCACGATACCGTCGATACTTTGGCAACTGTTGCGGATGCTGTCAATACTGCGTTACCGTCTTCGCCGCTGCGCATCTTCGTCCTTGGCATCGGCGACACTGCCTCAAGCGCTATGTGCGAGGGAATTGCACATACCGGCCGCGGCGTGTGCTTGATGGCATTGGATAGCGGCGAGATCGTTTCGAAAACCGCTGCTCTCGTGCGTGCTGGCATACGGCAGCTCGTCGCAGATGTTAGCGTAGACTGGGGCACGGGAACGACGGGGCTCGTGCGCCAGGCCCCATCTACGCTAGGGACGCTGCATCAAAGCCGGAGATTCGTAGCATACGCCCTGTTACATACGCCTACTCCACCGACAGAAGTAACTCTACGGGGACACGTCCAAGATGGCGCCGAAGTCCTCTCCTTGCAGGTTCCCGTGCGCTTCGCCAAATCATTTTCGCGGGGAATAGAAGAACACCAACCCCTGCACGCACTCGTGGCGCATCACTTGATCTGGGATCTGGAGCATGGGGGCGCGGTTGTACCTCCCAAGATCGGACTGCAGCCAGAGGAGGCACTCCATGCCGCAATCGTGGACCTCGGAGTGCGCTTTCACCTCGCTAGCAGGTTCACATCGTTCGTAGGCATCGACGAGGGTGCCCGCTTCCAACGCGAGCGCGCAAGAGCAAGGGCTAGGCGGGAGGCACAGAACGGAGCCGGTCGCGGCCCAGGCTGGGGCACGTACATAGTCAATGGCCTCATCGGCGTCATCTCTCGAGCAGCGGCATATTCGGGTGTTAGTGGGCCGGTCTCAGGCCCGCCGCACACAGGCGGTTCCAGCCCAACACGAAGTCGAAGCCGCCAACCAAGTCCACTTGAAGAAGGCTGGGGCGCTGATGATGACTTCGATGAGGCAGAAGAAGCGACCTCCGACGAGGACGATTACGGGAGTGGATATACCAGCGCTGACTCATATTCTACCATGAGCTCGCTTGAGAGCCTCTCCGACTCCGAAGTACAGCTACCCCACGGCGCCGGCGCCGCCCCAGGAGAGATGGCCCTCGCAGCCCGTCCCCGCGCGTGCGCCACGTTGATGCGCGTCCTCTGCAATCTAGCACTTCGCCAGACCATCATATTGGACCGGAGGTGGAAGCACTTCTAGCACTCCAGTCATTCGATGGATCCTTCGCATTGGACGCTTCGCTGGCAAAGATTGTAGGAGTTCGGGCGGTAGCGGAGGCGCCACACATGACTGATGATGGCAGTCTGTGGGCAACAGTCTTGGCCATTGCATTTTTGGAGAAGAACCTGTTAGGCGAACAAGCACTGTTGGAGGGTTTGATCGAGAAGATCAAGGATTCTATACAGGGGCGAGCGAGCGATGATCAATACGAGAGCTTGATCAGACGTGCGAGGGAAGTCGTTGGTTAACAATGGAGCAGTATAATCTTGTATGTATGCATACATGGTCGATTTGTAAAGTACCGCTTAGCGCTATGATCAATATCATCAGCAGATGGATTCTACCCAAACTTCGAAGACGCACATCTACGCTGATCCCCTTGAGGGCAGTAGTTCAGCATGACTTGACTTTGACAGCGCCACCCTCGCCTAGTATGCGCCGAACTTGGCTGACCTCCACAAACCATGTCCACCCCTTCGTGCGGCCGTTGCTCCCGTCCCTCAGTGGGTACTTGCCTCCAATATACCAATTACGGAAGGGAAGACCCAGCACGTGCAAATGTAGGTGGTTGATACTGTTGAATGGAGGGATATGGAAACCGAGGCTGCATAGTGTCAAGAGTAAATATGCGCGCTGCCCTCGAGGTTGCGCAAAACGCACCGGCGGCTGTCGACAGGGACCTTGAGGTCGTCAAGACGCGCGTGCCCCATGCGCTCCATATCCTGTACTATGCGAGTTATCGAGGGAAAGGGTATTCGCTTCACCTGGTTGGCTCACCCAGGGGAAGGTCCTCCTTGCTGAGAGCTTTCACGCTGCCTAGATACATGTAAATTTGATCGCAACTCCATTCGCGCCGTGCGCGACAGACCGCGTACCTATATGACGCCGCGGTATGACAAGCAGGTGGTGAAGTGCTGCAGGTCTACGGTCTTTGAATACGACGAATTCTTCATCCTATGGCGGAAGGTCAAGACCATTCCAGCGGTGAAAAAGTGTAGTGCGTACCTCGTATACGATAGCAAAACCATTCTCTCTGGAGACGTCGCAGAACACACAGTCTTTCACTCGCGGCGGAGATTGAGTCGGTGGTAAATCATCGCTCTTGAAGCTCTTGACACCAAAGCACGAGGAGATGAACGATAGTATCGTCATATGATCACAAGCACTTGCCTGGCACGATCGTTACGCAAATAGCCGGACGCGGGTCCAACCTGCCTCCGCCCCGATTATTTGACGAGATTTGGTCAAGCGTCGGCGTCTCGTTCAAAATAGTACTGGTTACGGTAATGTCCCCGGGGCAGTCAACATGGGGTTTCGTTCGAGCTTTGCTTGGACACTCATATATTCACAACGCAATTAACAGGCAGTTCGATGTGGTGCAACGGTTAGCATACCTCGCTTTCAAGACAGTAGTCATGGTCCGAGGAGGCCGGGGTTCGACTCCCCGCATCGAAGTACCTTTTTATGTAAGCCATCTTTATGCCACCGAACGCCGACGGGTCGCGACTGCAGGCTGCAGCGACAGGGGTCTCCTCGTAAAACTTCGGCACTCCCCTCTCCTTTTCAGGGCCTCTGATTTTGCGCCACCCACCCCACCCCTTCCGCACTGCGGAAACTTCTTGCCCTTTCTTGTATGGCCTCGAATCCATTCTTGTCTGTCCTGCCTCGTCTTGAGTCCGACGTCTATTTCTATCACCATATGTTTGTAAAGAACTCGCGTACGTCCCGACGCCTTCTCGATCCGGCGGTTTGCGCGGCACAAAATTTACTTGGGCGCCACCTGGGGCGGCGCTGCCCTTGCTCATCAGACCTGCGTGTCGTCCAAGCTCGCATCCTGAGATTCACGCCGATCGGTGACTAGAGCACGATTTTTTGTAGAACATAATGCGCGATATTCCGGATTCCATCAGGGGAAACGTCATAAATTCTTCCTTGGTTTAACGAGAATTAGCTGGAGGATATAGTCGACGATATAGAGGGTGTGCTAAGCGGCAAAGCATACGAAAGCGTGTGGTAGAGCGAACTATAAAAATACCATGCGGAAATAGACAGCATAAGGATAGCGAAAGCAAGATAGGAACTCAGATCCACATGGGTTTGAGGATTAACAGGTCAGCCGCGTCGCCCTTACGCGATCTCGTCGCCCCTAACGCGGACGGATTCGGATTGTTCGAGTGGCTCTTGGGTGAACGTGCTTTGACCCTCATCTTCATCCAGACGGTTCAACCAATCGACTGAGCCTTCATCGTAACGTTCCGAGACGCGCCTGGCTGACAGAAGGCCCCCTTTGTTCACGTGTTCCAACCCAGCGCGCGGTGGTGGAGGCACGAAACGTCGACTTTGTCGTTCACCACTGTCGGAATCCGGCTCCGCACGGCCTTTACCCTTGCCTGGAGACTGCTCCACCCGCAACCTTGCCGCGTCAATGGAATCTGGTCGCAGTGGGCGTATTGGCATAGCAAGCGGGACAGCGAGCGCAGGTTTACCAAAACTTTGCTTTGGGAAGCCCACTGCCACGCTGGCAAATCGCGCGAATCCAGGAACGGTGTTCTGCGATTCGTTACTTGAGGGTATGTCGGGAGTTGGTGAGCCGCTGAGCGTGCGCATAGGCGGGAGACGAGCCTGGGTTTGTGGCGCAGGGTGGGGTTGCGCAGAAGGGAGGGTAGGGAATAGTTGATGCATCGGCAGGGGCTGTGGTGATGTTTGTGTGGGGTGTGGAACGCGTACGTCAGATTGGACTAGATGTTGTGCTGTTGGCTGAACAGCGTATTGATATGCCGGTTGAGGGGCCGATGATGAACGTTGGTAGGTCGGCTGAACTGGTAGCTGCTGGGACGCGTATTGAACATGGGGGGCACTTTGCAGTGATTGGGGGTGCGGCTGTGACACGCTGAGCGAGGACGCGCGGTGTGGCGGAGGTTGAGTTTGAGCGCTCGATGGCAGGTGGTGCGATGAAATTGCTTGACTCCCTGTCGCGGGCCGCCCTTGTCCCCATAATTGAGATCTTGCCTTGCCTGAGGAAGAGTCGTACATGGGTTGGTCTCGTAACGCTGGGTCGATATTGGCATCCGAGTCGACGTTCTCTCTAGGAAAGCGCCTCAGATCGGCACCTGCAGGGGCAGTGACGAGGTTTGTTCGCATCAGGGGAACCTGGTAATCGATATCCTCGCGGCCATCGGCGATGGTTGCTTGCGATTGGGTAGGCGGAGGATATGGTTCGGGGCGCGGACCTTCACCTTGGCCAGGAAGCCGCGCTGAAGCGCGGTAGGCCTCGGCTGCAGCCTGAGCCGCGAGTTGCCCTTTCGTCGGCTTCTTGTTACGCTTGCGTACCCGCTTGTTGCCTTCGCCTTGGGTCAGGTCGATCATCCAGTAGCTACCTTTGCCTGGCTCTGTGATAG